ATAGGTTCTCACTCTGTGTGTGAGACTAGCCTTAAGCTCCTGATCCTCTGCCTCAGCCTCCCGCGTTCTGTGATTCCAGGCACGCACCACCATACCCAGCTTCCGTGTTCTGAGCACACTTAGGTAATTTCCAGTTAAAGCTGATAAAATATTCTTACAAATTACAATAAATGGAAGATATTTTAAGGAAAACCATTTTATCTTCCTATTTATAAGAGCAACGGGGCAAGAGAGACCATTTTCCTTATTTTCTGGAAAGCACCCATAAATAGACCATTCTTTAAAGCCATGTTATATAATATCCAAGAGGCTCGCTCAAGCAAAAACGCAAATTGCCTTGAATAATGATGAATCGCTAATGACTGTCCAACTCGTGTTTCAGATAGCCTACCATTTATTTAGTTTGCCAGAGAGGTCCTAACAGCTTATATTAAAATTACTGTTCAAATAAATGGGCACACAAATTGCATTCATTTACTTTATTGGTAATTTTACACACCACAGAACTTGTTTTGTTTTCCTTTTAAGAAAACTGGGATGAAAATCATTGATCCTTCAGAGAACTAAAATAAGAGGGTGTGAGGGATAATAGAACTCCTAGCATATTTTCCTTTTACAAGTTTCCTTTTACATGAAAAATAAGAGAAAATATGATGTTGAGAAACAAACTAACCCCCAAAAGTCTCACTTCGTGGGGGACAGGCAACCTCTTAGGAAAACAGAGCCTCAGGAGGCACCAGGACCCCACTGATGCTGGAATCCTCTCCCGACTGAAGAACTCGAAGAAAGAAAGGCCCAGCATGCTGGGGAGGCAAAAACCTCAGAGACCTGTCCAGGAGAATTCCTGGATAGGAGCTGTGTCTACAGGGCTTAGCTGAGGAGCTGCATCTACATGGTTAGCTGAGAAGCTGCGTCTACACGGGTTCGCTGATCAGAACCACAGCAATGTGGTGAGGTTGGAATGCCGCAGCTCCAGTCCAGAGGCAGTCCCTGCACTAGCTCTAGTCCCCGGGGACAGCCTCTCCTTGGTTGCCTCTGTGGCAGAGGTAACATCCCATAACTAATAGAGGAAAACCCTGTGGAATCTATTGGCTTAGCAAGACACCAGCTTCCACCACCCACAAAGCTAAAGGACACTATCAGGTGGCGTCCGAGGCCCACAGAAAAGCTCTCCCGTCTTGCTGTACCCACCCGTGTCTTTTAAACTTGCCTGGGTTGATGACTTCCTTTGTTTTGTTTAACTGTAAAACTTCATGCCCAGTGATGGTGCACACTTTTAATCCCAGCACTTGTGAGGCAGGGACAGGTGGAGCATGAATTTAGGGATGGCATGGATAGGCTGGGGAGATGGCTCAGCGGTTAGAGCACTGTCTGGTTTTTTTTTTTTTTTTTTCCCAAAGATCCTGAGTTCAATTCCCAGCAATCACACATGGTGGCTCACAACCATCTGCAATGAGATCTGGCGCCCTCTTGAGGAAGAGACCAGGTCAATCATCCTCATCAACTTTCATGAAATCCAGTATAGACAGTTTAACAGAACCACCCTATACTGGCTGCCCATGCATGCCCCAGCATTGCCAGGGCATATTTCAATTCAATTCTGGATGTGCTAGCTGTTTTTTATGTCAATTTGACACAAACCAAAAGTACCTGGGAAGACAGAATCTCAATTGAGAAACTGGCCTGTAGGCAAATCTGTGGAGTATTATATTTGTTTGTTTTTTTGGTGAGGTTTTTTTTTTTTTTTGATTGATGATTGATGTGGGAGGGACCAGCCCCAGCCCATCAGGATAGTCCATACTGTGTGGTACAAGAAACACAGGTTGAGCAAGGCATGAAGGGCAAGTCAGTAAGCAGTGTTCCCCCGTGCCCTCTGCTTCAGTGCCTGCCTGTAATTCCTGCCCTGACTTCCCTTTGCAGTGAGTGTGACCTGAGAGTTTTGAGAGAAACGAACCCTTCCCTCCTCAAGCTGCTCTTGGTCAGATTGTTTAATCATAGCTTAGAAAGTGTAACCAAGACACTGGGCTACATTGTCTCAGGCTAAATGAATAAGCTCTGGCTTTGCCCCACAAACACCTCCTAGACACATTGCAGGGATGCGCTGCAGAACCTGGCTGCTAGCACGAACCCAAGGACATTCTGAGTCTGGGGCTTCCCTCCACAGCGTTGTTACACAGCCACAGAGCCCATCCTGGATGAACTGCTGTGGACTGTATGCCTTTCTTTTCTTTGGCAATGCTTCACGACCTCCCTCCGTACTTCCTGCTGACGCTCAGTGGCTGAAATGGCAGCCTATGTGCAATTTGATCCTTTCACAATTTGTCAAGCACCTGTACAGACAAGGTCCCTAGCTGTGCCAAAGAGACGAAGATCGATGGCGGTAGCCATTCCCTGCAAAGTCTCTCTCACCTGCTCGGGGCTCAGCATGCTGTAACTGCTAACTTTAAAAACACTGGTGCTGAATGCCTGGGACAGAGTAGTCTTGGACAAGCACTATAGAAAGAAAGAAAGAAAGAAAGAAAGAAAGAAAGAAAGAAAGAAAGAAAGAAAGAAAGAAAGAAAGAAAGAAGGAAGGAAAAAACTTCCCCAAGTGATCATGCTCTATGAGGGTTAGAGGAGCTACTTGGAGCAAATAAGTACACGATACTCAATAATGCCATTAAAGTGCTAACGGAAGAAGCCATTACCCGGAACTAAAGAAAACTAAGAAGGTGGAGAGAAGGGAGGGGAGGGGCAATTTACCACAGAAGGATGATCAAATCTTATTCTGCAGAAGAAGATTCCAGAAAAAATGGTCAGGGAGCTGGAAGGGATTGTGGGGGACCCAGGAAGTAAGATGTCCTCCTGTTGGACGTCACCTGCTGTCTTGGGGCAGCACCTGTGGTGACCTGGAGGCTCTCATGGAAATATGGCTTATTGGTGCTCCTTGTGGAGGGAGGCAGAAGGCATGGAACCTCATTTTCTCCAGGAGAGTGTGGCAGAGGAAATGCTCTGGAGACTCCAAACTCAGCCTTTAGTGGCTCTGTAGTCTCCATTGGCTCTTGAGAGAGCCAACCACCATGGGAAGAAGCGGAGGCTAGAAGCCATTTGAAAAGAGGAACAACCCACCCCCAAGCCCAGTTCTCCATCTAGGGACACTGTGCATGGGACTCGAGCAGTGGGGACATCCTACCTTGGCAGAGCCTCCAGAAGAATGTGGCAGCTTTGGAGATTCCCAGCTAACACCAGGGAGGGCAGGACAACCTGCTAAACCTGGGAGCCCCGACCCATGCTGGCCGCCTGCTGCTTAAACACCTCCTGCTTGCAAGCAGCTTGTTACATAGCCTTGACTAACAGGTTCACAGAAGGAGTTGAAGTTCCTGTTATTTTAACAGCGTCCTAACTGTTTGTTTGTATGGGTTAAATGTGCTGACATCTGTTGATAATGGAAAATCCACCTCACTTGGTTTAAACTTACTGCATTGGCTCTTAGGTCTGAAAGTTTCTGGTTAGGACAGGTTAATGGATCTGTGGTATCCCCTGCTCAACTCACTTTCTCTTGCTTCTATCCCCAGCAAGAGTACATTCCTCTCACTCATAGGTGGTTTTTAAACATAAAGCAAAGAAAACCAGCCTACAAATCACAATCCCAGAGAATTTAGACAACAAGGAGGACACTAAGAGAACTTACATAGATCGAATCTACATGGGAAGTAGAAAAAGACAAGATCTCCTGAGTAAATTAGGAGCATGGGGACCTTGGGGGGGAGGGCTGAAGGGGGAGGGGAGAGGCAGGGAGAGGAGCAGAGAAAAATGTAGAGCTCAATAAAAATCAATGAAAAAAATTTAAAAAAGAGTACATTCCTCAGGCTACCACCCAATCCCCTGATGTCTGCAAGGAGGCTACAAAACATTAGGCACCGCCCCTAGACAACAGCCTCCCTTCTCGAAAGGGGACCATGCTTTCTTAAGACTGAGGCAATCTTCACGAAACATCCTCCCAGCAAGTTCCTCTCCGTGTCCATTAGCGTTCTCATTTTGAACAAGCCAGCCACTTGATAGGACGGTGTTAGCTGAAGGGGGGGGGGCAGAGAGCACCCTGAGCCCCACAAAGGGTGAAGGCTTGAAGGACAAGGATAAAGCCAACTCCTGTTGCACCACTAGGGACTTGCTTTCCTCAGTATGGAGAATAAGCTGGGCATGAGGGCTCATTCCTGCACTCCCAACACTTTAGAGGCTGAGGCAGGAAGAGTGCACAGAGTTCAAGGCCAGCCTCTGATAAAGATTCAGTCTCAAATATCCAAATGAGAAAAAGATTAAAAAAAAAAAAAGGGGGGAGGAGCACGTGCCTCTGAGCAGAACAGACATTCTCTAAAGATAGGAAGCCTTCATCCTGAGACAGGTCTGTGTCAGGCTAATCCATTCCAATTGTAACTTGCCACCAGAAACTACAGTTTGTACGAGCAGTACGGAGGTCATGGCAGAAATGAGATGGCATCACCAGGGACATATGACCATGCAGTCATACCCACAGGACCACCGGGTGCAGGGACCACCCGCTAGTCCCCAGTCACAGGGCCTGCTGTTTTCAAGAGTCCACATCAAGCTAGGAGTACCAGTGACAGCTCCCTTCCAACACCAGCAGGCTCATAGCAAATCCAGGAAGGCGGGAGAGAAACACCTCTCCGAGACTGGTTCAGTGTCTGCAGCTGGTGCTATGTGGTGAGACACGCGTGTGGAACCTAGGTGAAGGGCGAGGCAGAGGGCCATGGTGAGATGGGGTGGGGGAAATGGGGAACTGAGCTAGTGGCTTAGGGGGCCTTCCTGTTTAGTCACCTGTCACTTGTCTGTCCATTGTCATCTGTGTCTAATCCAAACTAGTAGTACCAGATCTCCCCCTACGCTGTCAGATGGGTCTTTATTATTTATTTATTTATTTATTTATTTATTTATTTATTTATTTATTAAAGATTTCTGTCTCCTCCCCGTCACCGCCTCCCATTTCCCTCCCCCTCTCTCATCAGCCCAAAGAAGCAGTCAGGGTTCCCTGCCCTGTGGGGAGTCCAAGGACCTCCCACCTTCTTCCAGGTCTAGTAAGGTGAACATCCAAACAGCCTAGGCTCCCACACAGCTAGTACATGCAGTAGGATCAAAACCCAGTGCCATTGTTCTTGACTTCTCAGCAGTCCTCATTGTTCGCGCGTTTCTAATCTCCAGTTTTGGTGCTCCTGATTGGCCAAGGAAGAGTCTCAGTCCCCATCGGGTTCTACGGTTATCTGAAGCAAAAGCAAAGGATTTGGAACCAGTAAACATCAGCTGGGTTAGGGGGACCTGGAGGTAAGGAAAATTGCGCAGGCTGTGTGTGTGCTGCTTCACATTTGGGACTAGGGGTTCTAGCGGTGGTGATTTAGCTGAAAGCTAGTAGCAAGAAGACACCTGACAGGGTGCTGGACCACCAGGCAAAACCCAGAGGCCTGGATCTGGATGGAGGACCTGAGATGGGGCCCCAGCAGCAGGTAGAAAGTAGTCCCAAGAGCTGGATCAGGACGTGTTTTGTTGGGTCTCCAAGGAAGCAAGTCCTAAAAGGGGTGGTGGTGGTGGATGCACCGTGCAGCCACCTGAGGATTCCCTGCCTTCTGTCCACAGCAAGGCGGGAGGCGTGACCCACAGGCTCAGGAACTCAGGCCCCACCTCACCCGCCATCGGCCTTCGGCTCACAGCCAGGCGTCATTTCTAGAACTGGAGTGAGCAAGGGAGGTGGGAAACCGGCACCCGACGAGCCACCCGGGGGCGGTGACAGCGCCCTCCCGCCCGGCAGGGAGGCGGAAGCAACAGGGCGCGGCGCGCGCTGGGGAGTCGCTGTGCGCGCGCGGGGCCGGGGCGGGGGCTGCGGCGCGCGCATGCTCACACAAGGCGCCCGTGACGCGCGGGGCGCAGCGGGGCAGAGCCGGCTCCAGAGGCGCGGCGGCCGCGGGAGGAGCAAGCGCGGAGCAGCAAGCGCAGGCCGCGCCGGCCCGACGGGAGCAGCGCCGGTGGCGGGCCGCCTCCTCCGAGCCGCCTGCGGGCGAGCCGTGTCCCTTGGCCGCCGGCGGCGGGGCATGAGCGCGGAGGGGCCGCGGCCGCCCCCCGCGCCGCCCAGGCCGTGACCGGGCGGGGGGCGGCTGCACTAGCGCCCGCAGCCGGGGGCTCGCGGAGCCCGGAGCGGCAACCATGGACTGCAGCCTACTGAGGACGCTCGTGCGCAGATACGTGAGTGACACGCTGGGCCGGGGCCGGGGCTGGAATCGGGATCCGGATCGGGGGTCCAGGCCGGGAACGTCCCGCCGACCGGTCAGTGCTGTGCTCCACCTGCGCTCGGCCAGGCCCACCCGGGTAGGCAGTTGCAGCCCTATGGGGTTAAGGGACATCCATCCCGGGGGTTCGCACTCAGTTGTAGCGGGGCGGGCCCGCGCGGGGGACAGGGACCGACTGGAGGATGCCTACAGGGCTCCGGGGAAGCGGGGGAGCCTCTGCCGGGGTGTCAGAAGTGAAGTTTGCCATCTCCGAAAGTAGCCGGCCAGGTCCGAGTGCGCAGTTCCCGGTCCTTCTGGATGCCGCTGCGCGGGTAGTGACGGAGCGTGCCTCACCGGGGGAGATCAGGGAGGTGGCAGCCAGCCACGGGTCTGGACGGAGCGAAGGGGTGTGTACAGAAAAGAGAGAATGTGCCCCGGGACGGAGCATCTTCCCCTGCGCTCGGCACAAGAACCTATTGTCCGGCAGCTGGCGCCTGGTGGTCACAGGTTTGAGGAGCGCGTGCCGGGCGCGGGCTGGGTACGGAGGATCGACCGGAGCCGTCTCTTTCTAGCTTCTCTGAACACTTGGCCTTAGATGTGGGTTTTTCCCGAGCGGGGAATGTACCCACTGTGTTTTCTCTAGTTAATCCCCTTCCAACTTTGACCTTCCAATAAGAAAAGAATGAGACTAAGAACTGAAGTTCTCCCGCGTGGGTAGTGAAAGGCGGAGGGGTGGTCGTCTTGTTCCCTGTACAGACTTCCCCGTGGCGTGTGCCTGCTTCCCGGGGACAGAGGATACGTGTTCGTCCCGAGTGGGTGCTGTCTTTTACTTCCGAACTGCCCCCACGCAGGCCTTCGGCTGTCTTAGGTTTCCTCAATGTGGGTAAAATGTCAGGTTAGCTTCTTTTTGCTGTGCTATTTCACCTTTGAAATGGCTTTTTCTCTCAAATCTAGGAGGTAGATATTCCTTAACGAGCTTTCCACTCTTAATTATTTGATAATGCATCTGGAATGCAAGTTATGGGATGTTATTCATTTTTTATTTCATTTTTTTTTAACCTCCTGCTTGCAGGTGTTCTCTTGACTCCTGTCATATGCCTGGTCACAGCTAGTCATATCTATGACTTTAAACTCGAGTCTAAGCCATGAAATTAGTTTGACTTTTCCCAGAAACAGTTATGATTTTTCTTGTAATATGGTTATCTTCCAAGATGTGAGATTATATTTTCTTTAGTAAGAGTAGAAAAAAGGAGATTGGATATTCTTATCTCATGGAACTTGTAAGTTATTCTGCAGAAATGAGCCTCTCCTGTTCCTCCTTCCTCTCCTCACACCGTCCAAATTTCTGAGATAATAAAGGCACAGCTTCCTCTGAGGCCCGAGGTTGCTAAAGATGGAGTCATCAGTCCCCAGAAAACATTGTCGTGGGTATGAGTGCAGGCAGGTAAATGAGAGAAGTCTTGTCTAGGTGACGCCAGTAAACACCGCAGTGTACCCAGTGTACCGTGCTGTCTGTTTGAACAGCCACACAGTCGTGAAGGGGTGCACAGCTCCTCTACCAGGAGGTAGCCAATGTCATATTGTGTACCCTAAACATTTTAAAGAGCGCATGCGAAGTTAGGTATGTGAGGTGGGGAGCGTGGACCTTTGAGAGGAAGCAGTAGAGCGAGTACCTGGGACAGGTGGCCTCTGCTGTCCTGCTTTGGGGCCTTTGTCAGAGGACAATAGCAGCTTGGTCTTGTAGTTCTTGTGCAAATTCAGTGTTGTAGTCCAGAAAAGGACTAAGAATGGGGCCTGGGTCCCAGGAGAGGCTCAGCAAGTTTACCCCTAAAGCTGACTAGTAGGGTCCCCTAGGACCTGGGCGGCCTTTAGCTCTGGGCTGCCAGTGAGAAGTTAGCAAGTGCTTGGATGTTGAGCAGGGTGGAGGACTTGGTACTCTTCCAAACATTACTTTTTTTGAGAGAACCTCACTGTGTGCCTCTGGTTGGCCTGGAGCTCACTATGTAGACCAGGCTAGTCTTGAATTCACAGACATCTGCTTGCCTCTGACTCCCTAGTACCGGAAGTACTCCTTAGGTCACCTGGCCTAAGCCCCTTTAAACTTTAAAAAGAAAGGGGTGTTGGTTGGTTCCTCCAACCCCGCCAGGGCTTTGCTGTGACAATAGGTGGGAAGAAATAGTGGTGGGTCTGATTTTCGCAACAATAAACAAAATAATTTAAAGCAACGTGTGGAGTACCTGCTGCTGGGCAGCCAGGAACAGTTTCCTAGGCGGCTCCTCACAAAGGCCTCTGGTTCATGCAGAGGGGGATTTGATTTCCCCTCATATTCCTGTAGGTCAAGAGCTTCATTATGTCATGTCTGGGTGATTGGTTTATTAGGTTTTAGGACTTGCTAGAGCTTTTGTGAGCCTCTCTGCTTTCCAGAATTTGCTTTGCACGCAACACCCTTTGTCCAAGACAGAAAACCTGGGAAAACCTGAGGGCTCTCCTTCCTTGGTGACGTCTGATGATCCAATACAGGATTTCCTGCCAGTTAGGCTAGTGCTCTACCCCCTAGTCATAGCCCCAGGTCTTTTTTACTGAGACTCCCGAAGTTGCTCAGACTGATCTGAAACGTGTGTATCCAGGCTGCTCTCAAGCCTACCGCTGTCCTGCCTCAGCCTCAAGAGTAGCTGGGGTTGTAGGCCTGCACCACTACAGCTAACGGATTTAAAATTTTCCTTTCTTTGATGTGAATGGCCTCCTTGCCTGCATGTATGTAAACACACCATGGTCATGCTTGATGCCTGCAGAGGTCAGAGGAGTTGGAGCTGACCATTAGGAGTGGGTGCTGTGAATTCAAACCTCTGAGCTGCTGAGCTTCCTCTCAAGTCTCCCATTTTTTATGTATTAGAAAAAGATGGTGTTGGCTCCTCAGATCTTCAAACACTTACTCTATACTTCCCCAAAAGTTTAGAAATTTGTAAGCTTGTATCATCATCTACAGCTTCTTCCTCTTCCTCCTCCTCTTCTTTTTTGAGAGAGGGTTTTACTATGTAGCTCTGGCTGTCCTGGAATCAGTACATTGACCAGACTGGCCTCAGACCAGAGATCTGCCCGTGTCTGCCTCCTGAGTGCTGGAATTAAAGGTATATGCCACTCTGCTCGGCTTCGTCATTTTTATCACCAAGTGCTTTGTAGCATGGACATTAGGATACATGATGAGCTTGCCCTTTGTCTGAGAGACTTAACTCACTGGCTCGCTGTTCCTAATCCAGCTCTGAGAATCCAGGCCTTCCTCTTCAGCCCCCAGAGTCCGTATTCCCGGACACAAAGTGAAACCACTTAACCACCAAGGCCCTTCTGGTATTTGAAATAAGTGGTTCCTTAGGCATAAACCCCAGGCTAATGGATGGTCTATCTCCAGCACGGAGGCAGCAAGCTATAGGGTAGACTTGTAAAGTTTATAATTAACACACACTTAACAAGGCAGCAGCTAGGCAAACTTGTCCAGCACCTGCCGTCTTCAGGCTTTGGTGTGTTCTGATTGGCCATTTCTGAGCAATCACCCCAGCTGTATATTTAACTTTTATGTTTCATTCCTTGCCTTGAATCTTCCCCATTGCTCTATGGAGCCCTACTGAACGTCTTCTCATCAGGACAAACAAGCCTCAGACATTTCATGCCAGCGGCTGGATTTAATAACCACGGGGAAAGAGGCTTCTTGTGTCATCACAGCCCGTTACATTTCTAGAAATGAGAGCACTGTCCTCAGTTTACAATCAGCTGAGATGGCGTGCCTATTAACAGGCACCATGCCTCGTTACCCAGGAACTCGGTCTGCAGATGGGTTCCAAACTGAACATACAGATTGTTACTGGGTGCCTGCGCCCTGTGCCCGACACAAACAGGGTGGATGGAAGATTCCGATGGCTCAGACTTACAAATGTTCTTTTAACCAAGTTAAACGCGGGTAAGAAGTGCTATTTATTTGCAATACAAATCGATAGAAAGCCACTTTTTGCAGCACTGGAAATACAAGATTGAATAGGTACTATTTTTGCTCGACTGGGATGCTGATGGCTGAGAAACTCAGGGTCGATGTAGAGCTTTGGAGGTTAGGCATCTGTCTCCTGGAGCCTCACTCACATCTCTCTCTGACTCCGCCTGTATCTGGGGCTGCTGGTGAGATTCTTCAGACTGTTTCTTCAGTAGTGCCCCCCCCCCCCCCCGGTGCCTGCACTGTCTAGGACACAGCCCTTGCACACGGTTCATGCTCCATAAGTGGTGCCAGTGTGGAGCCGACACCACGAGTCTGTGCTGCCCTGCTTCTCAGCGGGCTGCTCCCCCTCTCCATGGGGGCAGCAGACAACCTGCCTAGATGTTTGAGAAGAAAACAGCACATCTCCCTGCAGAGCCCACAGCCTTGCTGTTTCTGTCCTGGCCTGCCTCCCTGGTTTGGGACAGTAGATTCCATTTTGATAGAGCCCAGTTCTGACGCTTGCATTCCCCATCCTCTTCCTGTTTAGATGACATCACCGCCCTGTGGCACGCATGTCTTCCTCTGTCTACCCTTTATCTTAATGGCTGACCAGCTGTAGCTGACCAGACCGTCTTCCCTCCCACGTTGTCTTTGTCTTGCTCCTGGGGTGCTTTCCCCAGGGTCTTCATGACCTCATTGTGGCTCACACGCTCACACTTCAGTTGGATGGAGCTTCCCATCCTTGGGTAGCCACCTCACAATGGAGATGCAAACTGAGCATAATAAGCAAGTGTTAGTGGTCGGATGTGTTCTTTTTTTGGCATCAGAGATAACAGTTAAAAGGAAAAAATAGATTTTTGGCTCCTAGTTTCAGACCAGGCAAGGTGCACTGAACAGAAAGGTAGGATTCTATGGAGGATCAAAGGGGCTTGCTTCTTGGTAGGTAGCCAGGCCCCTTCCAGTGACCCCGCCCCCCATCCTTTTATGAATTCATCACTATATCAATCCGTTGATTG